ATCTTCCAGCACCCAGGCCAGTATTGAGATTGATTCCCTTTATGAAGGAATCGACTTCTATACCTCCATTACCCGTGCCCGATTTGAAGAATTGAATGCTGATCTGTTCCGTGGCACTCTGGACCCTGTAGAGAAAGCCCTTCGAGATGCCAAACTAGATAAGTCACAGATTCATGACATTGTCCTGGTTGGTGGTTCTACCCGTATCCCCAAGATTCAAAAGCTTCTCCAAGACTTCTTCAATGGAAAAGAACTGAATAAGAGCATCAACCCTGATGAGGCTGTTGCTTATGGTGCAGGTAAGCCTATGTTGATTGACCAATTAAAGGAATAAGCAGGCAGCTTCTTAAAGAGTCTAAGCTGATTTGCTGTAATGGCTGATAAGCATTCAATTTCTGTGAAGATTGGGTAATGATGTTGTGACCTTGGCTGTCTTTAATAAGCACAAAGGCTAATGTACGTGTAATGGGAGCTATATTTTGTATTTTTGATTTAGAACTTTTTCTTTGTTAGCTGTCCAGGCGGCCATCTTATCTGGTGACAAATCCGAGAATGTTCAGGATTTGCTACTATTGGATGTCACTCCTCTTTCTCTGGGTATTGAGACTGCTGGTGGAGTTATGACTGTGCTCATTAAGCGCAATACTACTATTCCAACCAAGCAGACACAGACCTTCACTACCTACTCTGACAACCAGCCAGGTGTGCTCATCCAGGTATGTTTCGATACTGTTTGTTTTCTGTGGTCATGGAGCTGGGGAAGTCCTGACTCGCTGTGATGATGGACTCCAAAACCATTCGTAGTTTCCACCAGAACTGTCATGTTGGCCAATTCCTTCCTTGGATGTCTGAGCGACTAACCTTCCCTAGTTGAACTCTTAACGTAAAAATAACTAACACAAAAGCATGGGTCCCTTGTGTAACTACTTACATTTGTGTATTCTACCTAGGTTTATGAAGGTGAGCGTGCCATGACCAAGGATAACAACTTGCTTGGCAAGTTTGAACTTACAGGCATACCTCCTGCTCCCCGTGGTGTTCCTCAGATTGAAGTCACTTTTGATATTGATGCCAATGGCATTCTCAATGTCTCTGCTGTGGATAAGAGTACAGGAAAAGAAAATAAGATTACCATCACTAACGACAAGGGTAAGTAGGCTCATGGCATTGCTACGTGGTCTCAAAGATAGGTTCATAAAGGGTGGTATTATATGTAATCATTGCTGTTGTGTAAGGGCATCTAGCCAAGAAGTAACCCTTAATTGTGTATGTACAAAGGATGTTAGGCTATGCATAAGTTCTACAGGTTAATGATTTGGTATTGCAGGCCCCTGATTAAAAAAGGGTTTCTTGCTTTTACATAGGACGTTTGAGCAAGGAAGACATTGAACGTATGGTCCAGGAAGCTGAGAAGTACAAGGCTGAAGATGAGAAGCAGAGGGACAAGGTTTCATCAAAGAATTCACTTGAGTCCTATGCATTCAACATGAAAGCAACTGTTGAAGATGAGAAACTTCAAGGCAAGATCAATGATGAAGACAAACAGAAGATTCTTGACAAGTGTAATGAAATTATCAACTGGCTTGATAAGAACCAGGTATGTAAATGATTGTTACCTTATCAGGGAAGGGGGGATACACAAAGCCTGAAAGCTTAAGTTCAGTATAGGGTCACAATGATGAGTGGTTTCCAAACATTCGCGGTTTCCACCAGAATTCAAATCATGTTGGCAACTAACCTTCCTTGGATGTCTGAGTGACCCCAAATGTAAAGGACTACCCAAGACCTTGTGACAGTTTCTTAGACTCAGTACATGAAGTTTTAAGGAGGGTTTATAACTACTTAACTTGAATAACAAAGATTTTTTTTTATTCCTCCCTTCAGACTGCAGAGAAGGAAGAATTTGAACATCAACAGAAGGAGCTGGAGAAAGTCTGCAACCCCATCATTACCAAGTTGTACCAGAGTGCAGGCGGAATGCCAGGGGGCATGCCAGGAGGAATGCCTGGGGGCTTTCCTGGTGGTGGTGCTCCTCCTTCTGGTGGTGCTTCCTCTGGCCCCACCATTGAAGAGGTTGATTAAGCCAACCCAAGTGTAGATGTAGCATTGTTCCACACAGTAAAACATTGAAGGATCCAAATTTGTAGCAAATTATGTGGCAGATTTAAGGTTGGGCTGCTATAGTGAATTACTGGGCATTTTCAATACTTGAATATGGAACATGTGCACAGGGGAAGGAAGTAACATTGCACTTTAAAAGCACTGTATTGTAAGTGGAAAATGCAATGTCTTAAATAAAGCTGTATTTAAAATTGGCACCATACAGTTGTCTGGAAATAGACGGGATTTATGTGAACGTTTATAGCCTATGTTTGGGTGGGATCATCACAAGGGCTGGGTGGTAAAATTACAGCAAACTTTGCTGTAAGGTGGTGATAGACTAGAGGGTACTTAAAAAGACACTTTGAGATTTTTGGCTATAAACTCAAGGCTGGTAAAGTAGCCTCAGGAGGAAAAATTAGCTGGGGGGGGGGTCTTAAGAATTCAGTATGTTGACATAAAAACCATATTAAAGTTTGAGTCACAGAACCTGTTCTTTAATCTGCCACCTGGTGGCAAATAGGAGTTGTTACCACACTGTGGCATAAATAACCAGGTTGCTATATTGGTCACAGACAGCAAAGCAAACTTTCAGTAAGTAAACTGGAATCTTTTGCAGTTAACCTGCCTGGTGGTAGTGCACAGTTCTTTAGTATTTTTTGGTAAACAGTTGGTGAAGGATCTAGTTTTACTTGTTGGAAAATGTCTTATGGAGTACCAGTATTTTGGGAGGGGAGGGCATACAAAGCAGTAACTTCATTTTCCATTGATTAAAGGGTTGGAGTGTGCAGCCTGGATGTGTATTTGGTTTATGCTATATTTATAGCTCAGGCTGCCAGAACAGTATATAGCTCTCTGGAGCTCATGATTTCTGTACCACTGCACAGCTGTAACATTTTTTTAAGTCTGTCACTTTGGTTAGTGCTCAACCTCAAAGTTTGGGACCCAAGCAATCTTGCTTCAGCCTTCTGAGGAACTACAGGTAGCTGGGACTATATGTGCACGGCTAGTTTTTTTCTGTTAGTAGAGATGCTGGTCTTAAATTCTTGAGCTTGACTTCACAGTGCTGGGGTTAGAGGCATTAGCTACTAAGCCTGGCCTGTTACAGTTTTTGAACTGGAGCAAGCAGTTTTAAGTAGGGGACCTTTGGCTCAAAAGGAATGAAGGGTAATGAAAAGCAGTTAGCTAAATCCTAAATAGTTAACTGAAAATATCCTCAGTGTAGTTTGCCTTACACCAGGGGTCCTCAAACTTTTTAAATGAACGAGTGGCCAGTTCACTGTTCCTCAGACACAGAGCTGGACTGCAGGCCCCAGGACAGGCAGCAGTGGCAAAAACACCTGGCCAGCCAGATAAATGTCCTAGGCAGGCTGCATGTAGCCTATGGGGCATAGGTTGAGGATCTCTGCCTTACACAAACTACAAAGTTGGCTTGGGAAGGTGGGAACTTGGGCAGTGCCTTTGGCTCAAAGAGGTAGGATGCTGGTCCCATATGCTGGAGGTGGCAGGTTTAAACCCAGCCCCAGGCAAAAAAAGAAGGGAAGGTGGGAACTTAACTAGGTTTGTTTTCCCCTTATGTCACTATCTTTCATGTGGTAGGAATTTTTCCAAAGGGGTTTTGTAATTCGTTCTCCACAGTCCCAGTGTTTAATGTCCTCCCACTTTGGGTTTACTATTAAGATTCGTCTTTTCAGTACTTTGGGTATATTTGAGAAGCATAAATAATCTGGATGTTGGAAGTTTTCCCAGTAACTTTGCTTTTTTTAATGTCCTATTGTAGGTTAGACCCTTAATGAGATTGGGGGTAGATAAGAGCTAATGAAGATGTAGTTCTATAAATTCCAGTAGGATGGCAGGTGAGACTCAAGTATGCAAGATGAATAGGATGCCTACCAAGTGGCAAAGAAAATAATTACTGTGGGAAAACCCTGGAAAGAAGTGGTTTAAGTTAAGTGACCACAGCACTATATACCAATTCACATTTAGCTTTTTTTTTTTTTTTTTTGAGGCAGTTTTACTGTATCACCCTCCGTAAGTGCTGTGGCATCACAGCTCACCTCAGCCTCAAACTTGGGTTTCCCAAGTGATTCTTGTCTTGCCTCAGCCTCCCAAGTACCTGGGACTACAGGCCCACCACAGCATGGGGCTATTTGAGTGTGGTTGTAGTTGTCATTGGCAGGCCCAGCAGGGTTCCAACCTCCCAGCTCCTCTCCACCATGTCCCGTGTGCACGTGTGTGTGTGTGTCTCTAGTGTCCTAACCGCCGTGCTATAGGTGCTGAGCCTCCCATTCTGAGTTCACAAATGGCATTCACTTACATTGAACAACTGTACAGGGAATGATGGCTCAATGGTCTGACTATGTGCATCAATCTGTAGGGTGGCTGAAGTAATTTTTGCTTTAGCAAATACTGTAGGAGGTTATGGTAATAGAATGCCACCTACGTGACTTTTTTTTGCAGAGCGCTGCCAGATTGAATCCCCATGTCCAACTTACAAGAATTGCTGCATTCTGCCAAATTTACTGGACAGTGACAATCCTTTTTGAAGTGCACTTTTATTACTGTAGCTCTTGCTTTTTACTTGACTTAAGACTTAACGGGGAGTAGGTTTTGCTTAAAGCCACTGTAGTGAAATCAGTCTCACTCTACTATGATATTTATGTACTCAAAATAATATGGGAAACAAGTAATACCTGAAAATCATTTGTCCAAAAGATATTGAATGCCTGTGATGTTCCAGGCCCTAGGCTTTCACTCAGAAACTGGCATTTTGGATTCTGGCAAGGTGGGGTGGAATGTTGTGACTGGTACATCCTAATAGGGAAAGTGAAGGATTTCTGTGGAAGTCTACATAGTGCTTGCTGTAAGGACGTCTGTGTCCACTAGATGTCAGTAATTATTTATAAAACAACTACCAGGGTGCCTGGGAGACAATGACCGGAACCTGTTAAGTATTTGTGCTTTTTGTTAGTGTTTTATAACTGGAAGTACGGTGAACAATGATAGAAGTCAGCCCCAAATAAGCACGTTGGTGTTCCAGACAAAGTGTTCCCAGATTGCCATGTGCAGTGGCTCATGCCTATAATCTAGCACTCTGGGAGGGTGAGGCCTGTGGATTGCTTGAGCTCAGTTGTTCAAGACCAGTCTGAGCAAAAGTGAGACCCAGTCTCTGCTAAAAATAGAACTGAAGCAAGAGGAGCTTGAAGCTAGGAGTTTGAGGTTGTTGTGAACTATGATGCTATGACCAGCCTTTGGTACTCTTACCGAGGGCAACAAAGTGAGACTTCATCTCAAAAAATAGTATTCCCAGCTGAACAAGTGTCTTGCTGCAGGAGTATGGCTTGAAAAGATCTCAGGGTACTTGAGGGGTGAGGTGGGGAGACAAAGGATGGGGAACACAGATAGAGCTTGGAAATACGTAGGGTAAGGGGGAAGAAAAAGCTTAGTGGGAAGGAAATACAGCCTTCATGTATTCCTAGCTAGTTTCAAGGTCACATGTTATTCCCCTCATCTCCCTGAACGTCTGAGACTCATCAGACTTAATGTGAAATACTTGATTCTTCACCAAGCTCTGCAAGAATGGAGACACGCATGCATGCCTGGGTCCTGAATGTCTGCCACATGACAAGAGTATGTTTGGCAACCAATAAGGAAATGAATGAACAGGGCTGGAGCAAGTATCCAAGACTGGTAAAATGTTCTCTCTTTGGGCTCCACAGTGGCTTGATCATGGCATAGTTGGCACGGTGAGCTCAGACTCCATAGTCTCTGCTACAATTCCTTGCACAGTTGGGGAGCCAGCATTAGAGTTGTATGAGAAAGAAATGACCAAACCTGGAGCAGCTCTGGGCAAGTGAAATTTGGCAATAATAGAACTGCCAAGATCTTTGGGATATGAAATTATTCCACAATTACTACGATATTTATGTACTCAGGAATCACCTGATGTCTTCTGACCGGGGTAGTATGTGGAGTGAGTGGGGTATAGCTAGTCTTTGTAATACAAGAAGACAGGCAAAGTCTACTTGGAGCAATGTCTATTTGTCCCAGGAAGCTAGGCCACAGCACATAATATTCAGAGCTTGCAGCCAGCACCCAATCCTCAAGAAATCATCTTGAGCTTGGATTGGGTGAAAATTTCTTAGATACAACACCCACAACTCAAGCAACACAATAATAAATAGATCCTGACAATTGGGGTTGGCTGATTTTGAAAAAGAAAGTAGATGTCATAAAAATTACATATATGTGTGCTTCTAAGGACACCATGAAGAAATGAGAAAAGACAACCCCACTGAAATGGGAAAATAGGCTCGGCACCTGTGGCTCAGGTGGCTAAGGTGCCAGCCACATACACCTAAGGTGGTGGGTTCGAATCCAGCCCGGGCCCGCCAAAACAACAATGACTGCTGCAACCAAAAAATAGCCAGGCGTTGTGGTGTGCACCTGTAGTCCCAGCTACTTGGGAGGCTGAGGCAGGAGACTCACTTGAGCCCAGGAGTTGGAGGTTGCTGTGGGCTATGATGCCACAGGACTTTACCCAGGGGGACAGCTTGAGGCTCTGTCTCAAAAAAAGAAAGAAATGGGGAAAATATTTGCAAATTATCTGATAAGAGGCTATCCAGAATATATGAAAAACTCAACTCAGAAAAGACATTTCTCCAAAGTAAATATACCAATATATACAAATAAGCACAAGAAATGATACTCAAATTCCTTAGCAAGCAGAGAACTGCAACAACGCAACTCACCACAATAGGACAGAATTTCACACGCACTAGGATGTCTATGATCAAGTTGGCAGGGATGTCCCGACATTGGAACCCTCGCGCACACCTGTGGGGAACGGAAAAAGATATAGCCGCTTTGGAAAAGAGTCTGGCAAGTTCAGAAGTTTAAAACACAAAATATGTTCTGAAATTCCACTCCTAGAGAAATGAGAACCTACATCCAACAAAAACTTCTGTGTGAATGTCCATAGTATCATGATTCATAATAGCTAAAAAGTGTCAATACCACAGTTCAAACATCCTTTAATTGATGAAAGGATAAATATTATTCACCCTTACAAAGGAATGAAGTACTAATACATAGTACCATACAGATGATTCTTTTTTGTTTGTTTTTTTTGAGACAGTCTCACTTTGTAGTTCTCCATAGAGTGCTATGATGTCATAGCTCACAGCAACCTCAAACTCTTGGCTCAAGCAATTCTCTTGCGTC